TCAGCGGTAGCAGCAAATATTGAAGAAATACAACCACTTGCAGAAGTACAAACAGTTGATGTCGTTGAAGGTAATCCGCCAATTATAAGTTACAAGAGGAGTATTTGTTACAGCTACTTTTCCCCCACACACTCAAACCTCTTTCTTCTTGTTCCGACATATCTATTTTTTCCCAAGGTCCACCACCAGTTGCCATAATACATTCTAGCATTTTTATATATTTGGCTTTCCTCGTTTTTCCAATACTTGAATCTCTATTAAAAAAAATAATATGGATGCCAAATAGTTTCTTGATTTTAATATAAAATCTTTTATAAAAAATAACCTTTTGCCATGCTTGCTTTGTTAATACAGACACCTTTCTTAAAGAATTTAATTCAATGGTGAGTTTTTTCCACTTATTTTCAATATATTTTGGTTCTACTGTTGGATTTATAACCCCGCTTCTAAATACGTAGTCGCCTTTAATGTACTCTAAATATATAGCACACTGTTCCACTAATGTGCTTTAATTTCTCTTTCTCTTTGAAACACTAAAATGATTGCTACCTTTCCTACATGAAATCCCTCAAGGAAGTTTTTGAAAACGCAACAAATAAGTCTTTGCTGACTCGTTAGGAAATGAACTATGGAGTTATTGGGTTTGCAGCAAAACGATATGTGTACTCTTATAAGTTTATTCCAAGCATTCGAATGTGAATACATTCATCTTCAGAGAGATCTATAAATATTTGTTAAAGGATAAAGTTAAAATTGAATGATGAACAATTAATTAAAGTGTTTACCTACAACTTAATAAGATTGGTTCGTGAAAATGGTGAAAATTATTATAACATTTATTACTAGGCTAGATATAAACCTACAAGAACATGTTAGACAATGCATTAAAATTATTAATAAAACTTTTCTAAAAATTATTTTAACTAGTTGTTTAATCGAACTTTTAAAATTTTGAGGTTACAATTATTTAAGACATGTGCTATTGTCAAGTTCATGGCGCATGCGACTGTCATTAAGTCAGTTTGCCAAAAGAAGAATTTACTCTAACTGTATGGGACTAATGAGGTCCTACAACCAATTATTTCAAATCAAAGGGGGTTGCATAAAGGTAATGAGACTTTATTCCCGACCATCCTTTCTTAATGGGAGGTGCACGTGTCATATACAATTGAAATGAGAGAAAATGGATACTGAAAGTTTTAAATTACTGTTTTAAAAATAAAGTTATGGTGTTTGTGATGAAACAGTTAATTTTAATGACGACAACCATGTTTGTCTCCTGAAACCCTTAAACCGATGAGAGTTTTTTCTCTTTTATATTTTGACATTACAATTAGGAAATTTATTATTATAAGAATTAAATTGTTTCGACATGACAATCGACTAAGAATGTATCTGTTATCACAAACAGAAAATTAAATAATTAATAATGTACCTTCACATAAAGACTTCCAATCCAAATTCTCCTCGTATTTTGTCATTGAAGACTGGCTAACATCGTCTCTACTGTTGTCGCTATTGCTGCTAGATTCCATACATTCGATGCGCCTTCGTTTTCTAGAGAGAGATTTGCGGCTGTTTTTTTAATAATATTTCTATGCTTTTTTCGAGCCTTTCACTGGTTTCTGAACTGTTTTTCTTGTGTTTTCTTTCGGCATATTAGCCCTTAAAACGAAACGTAAACGAAGGACCACGCACAATATTTTAATCACTCTATAGTTTCTTCTGCTATTATGTTCGGTTGTTTTGCAGCCGTTGAAGCTACAATTGAGGCAGGTGAAGATAATGGCGTTGAAGCTGATACATTTGTAGAAGATCCCACATTGGAGTTTCTATATTCTGGGGGTACGTGCTATGGAGGAAAGTATCCATAATTAGGTAAGGGCAGCCTTCCCATATCAGCATCAAAAAGTATTTTATTAATAGCCTGTTTTACAAATGCAAGTGTTCGTGAATCATATTTCCTCATTTCACTGCCGATATATTGACCATATGTGAAATAGGAATCTTTATTCTCATATGCACTACTCTATAAAAGCGTAAAAGCTTTATCCAGCTAATCATGGTGGAATTTTGTGCTGTATGTCTTTTCTTTGAAGCTGGAGTTTGAAGCCTCGCGAGGACGCCGCGCGAGGCTGCCGCGCAATGTCGATACGCGGCTTAAGGATACAAATATAGTGAAGTGGCGAGGGTAGAAGCGCGCGGGGAGGTAAGTGGGCGATTCTAATATCGTACTGTATTTTAAATTAAAGCTCTAAGCGACGAGTTGTCGCTTGAAGTCATATGGAGCGGAGAGTCGATTAAAATTCAGGATTTATTTAGCGCGAGTAGGTATTTAAAAAACTTATCAGGATATTTTTTTAGCATCAGGAAAAGGTTATGATATTGTCTCACTTCAGTTATTCTTTTATTTACTGGATGCATGGTGTATCGCCAACTGCTTACCAGTAGTAGGTGTAGTGCTGCATTATCAAACAAAATTGCGTTTTCTCTGTGTAAAAATATCTTATCAACTAAAAAGTAACTAGTAAACTATATGAAATGTATAATACCTCGTTCGGTTAACTCTATAGATCATCGCGCCACTATAATTGTGAGATGCCGCTACCCTAGCCGCTTCACTAGATTTGTACCCTTATTTTGTTCCGCGCGGCAGCCCGAGCCACATTTTTTGCGAAACAAATTGGCCATTTTTGTCAACAGTGTCGGATCGGTGTTGTATTTAGTTGTTTTCACTTATAGCTGTGCGAATTATTAAGGCTGTTTCAGCATTTTTAATAATGCGTCGAAGAATTTATGTAAAAACAGTACAAAATTTTACTCGTATGACTTTTGTAATAAAAGTTAGACGTTAATTAGCAATAATTAACGTTTAATTACCTTTGTGAATCAATTACATATATGTAATTTTGACTTCCTAGCGCTTATATATTTTATATCAAATATTTTTTTTCAATAAAAAAAAAAACAACACTTAAGTCAGTCAAATGACAAGTATTAAGGAATAATAAAATTTCTCTTATTAACACGTTAACTGCCAGGGCGGTCCCAGGGACCGCTAGTAGTCTTTCCGTCTAGGCCATGGCGGTCCTGTGGACCGCCAGGCAATTATTTGTTTAACATGATTTCCAGGCCAGCGGACCGCTCGTATGAGGTATTTTAAAGCATGCATAGGACCGATTGGCCCTGGTGACTGACTGAGACACAAGAGTTTTTTCATTTATTTTTTTTCTCTATTTTGGCGATTTTATTTTTTAATACGATGGAAGTAAATTTAAATACGGTAATTTGGTAAAAAAAGTATATTTCTTATAATAATTACTTTTAATGAAATACAAAAGTACACAACTGAACTAAACTAAAGTACCTTTTTTTTATTTATGAAAACTATTGAAACAATCTAGGCAAAAATGCGGTTTTTCAATAGTCAGGGCAAAACGTTACAACTTTTTTGACATGGTTTTTCGGAATCAAACCCTCAGTTTTTTTTTTATAACATCCGACACAATACTTCTTTTTTTTTTAAAGAGTGCTCAGATTTTCGCTTTCGTCTGTTACTTGTGGATGGTACCGCAACATCATCTAATTCATCCTCTTCTTGAAAAATCAAAGTCTCAAAAATGCTCTCGCGAAAGTCTGTTATAGACATGGAGGAGTCATTAATTTTTTTAAAAAAATAATGCGAATTAACTACGCTAGTACCAAATAGGACTTCTATAGCCAGCTTCCTGTACCACTTTATGGTCTTCCTCAACGCCGAATTGTACGATGCCATTTGATCGGACAAGTCTATAGAACTCTTTCCTTTGTTATAGTCTACAACAGCGAGAGGTTTTGTTTTTGTTTCATTTCGAACTTGAATTTCTTGCATAACATCTGTATGCTTGGTTGACAGCAGCAACACGTCTCTTTTGTCACGCCATTTCATTACGCATATTCCCCGTTCATTTTCTCTAGCTACAATTTCACCGCGCTTAAGTTTCTTTTCCGTGACCTCTTTTGGGTTTCCACGCCTGTTAGATCGCAATGTACCTAGAAGGTGTGTCTCTCGATCCAGCAACTTATTTGCCAAATCCATACTAGTGTAATAATTGTCGGTGACCATAGTTCTGCCGCTATCTAACAGGTTTTCAGCAAGGGTCATTACCACATTTGTAGGCACGCTAGCACCTGCATCTTGTTCCTTTCCACAATATATCTTCATGTTATAAGTATACCCTTCTGAACTACAAAGCTTAAATATTTTAACCCCGTATTTATGGGTTTTTAGAGGAATATACTGCTTGAATACAAGACGACCTCGAAAAGGGACTACCGATTCATCTACACAAACTGTACTGCCAGGCGTAAATGCATACTGAAACTTCGCGATGAGCTTGTCAAAAAGTGGCTGGACTTTGAAAAGTCGATCACCTTCTGGACAACTTTCATTATCGGAAAAATGCCACAGTTGTAACAATAACTCGAAACGATTTCTACTCATAACTTTTGATATATTTTCATTCCGAAAAAGTGGTTTTCTGCTCCAGTAATGTCGGATTGTTGGCATTCGAACAATACCCATATATCCGATTAGCCCCAAAAATTTACGCATTTCTCTTTTATCTGTAGGAGACCAATTATGAAGTCTTGAAAACTGTGGAATATCTTGCGCCTTGCAAATAACCTGCGTTGCGTAAAGGTTAGTTTGCTCCACTATTAGCTCTATAATTTCATTATCCACAAAGAAGGAAAAAAAATCATAAGGTGTACCTCTCTGTAACGCAGCTTGTAACTCTGGAAGAATACCTTGTTGTTGGGTGAACTTATTTTGAAAGTTCAAATGATTGCCTTGTGGAGAGGACCAGCCCGGAAATGGATGCAACATTCTCCTCAGATTCGGAGCTGCTCGATTGCTCCCTAAGATTCGAGCCAATGTTTGAAACCTCTGGAACAGTTTCGGAAACCCACAAAAAACATTACTTAGAGATATATAAAGGATTTCTAAATAAAAAGCTTACCTTTGTGTCATTGTGGTTTGCAGTTTCTGCGGGTGCGTCTGAATCAGGTTCAGACAAGTCACTAGGTGAGTAACTTGGATCATTGACTGAGTCGGATGAACCATATGGATCAGGGACATCACTATCATCAGAGCAATCTAAAATTTAATTAATTTCTATACTCTTAAAAATAAATTAAAAGCCAAAACTCTTACCATCATCGTTATTCGATTTTTGCAGTTTCGCCAATAAAAATAAACGTTTCGTGCGGTCTCGAATACCAGCCATTTTAACCGTAGCGTACCAAACGACTTCCTACGCGACACTAGAATTGCAATAACAGCCGATAATATACGCGCGCGCTGCAATAAACAAATGATGTCATTGGACCCACGTGGACCTCCGAGCGGGACCGATCGTGCTTTTGCAGTACACTTGTCTCAGAGGGCCAAAGCGGTCCGGGGGACCGCCAATTTTTTTTTTGTTTTTAGGGAAAATTAGACAAATTTTAGTAAAAATAAGAGAAGTTTAAGCATTATTAATAAAAATCAACCTGAAACTACAAAAATAACAACTTGGCCCAATAGAAAAAATCACAAATTACAACGCGGCACTTAACGTGTTAAATATAAATAAAAATTAATAGAAATGGATGAAAATATTCAAAATATAGAGTTTATTCAAATGTGGCCATTTTCGTTTTTAAATATATTCTGTATTTTCCAGCTTTTCTAAAGTACCCAGAATATCAAAATTTGATGAATTTGCACTTTGCATTCTTGTTAGAGCAATAAATAAGCGATAATTATTAGTTTTGTGAAATGGAACGAAGAATAAATCGTTTTAAAAAGTATTATCTTACTGGTACTTTAACTTAAATGGTTTCTAAAATTTTACAACAATGAATAGATCCCAAAATTACTTTATGTAAAAATAATAAATCTACTGTGCCCCCTTAAATAAGAACAAAATCATAGTCACCAACCTAATCTGAATGAACAATAACTTTAAACAGACTCTAAAGAATTATAATAGGTATGTATATTATAAAATGGAGGCCAAACTGGCTATCCATATGGGGATGTGTCATCAGGGATACAGTGATGATACAATATTCGAATCACTATTGAAAGCCTTATATTTTGACGTAAAATTTTGAGAAGATTGTAGATACAAATCACTCTTTGATTTAAATTTTTCAGCAAGGTCTTTAACTTTTTTTTTCTAATTCTTGTTCTGTGTTGTTTAGTTGCTAAAAAATATAAAATAAAAGAAGACTAATTAAATACATTCTCAGAATTTCTACCTCTTTGCTTATCTCTTCCTTGGGCAAATCTATCAAACTCATATTAACTTCTTCTATTTCATTATCATTTCGAATTTATGTATTATTGGAATTAAGACTTTTGATTGGAAGGGATTAAAATTTCAACCAGAGAGATATCCACATCCAGGTCTAAATTTTTATCACTTTCACATTTGTGGTCATTTATTTTATGATCCTAATAACAATGAGAGAAGATAACAGACAATTTAAAAATGATAAAGCAGGTACCCACTTTGTCCCGTAAAGAGAAAAATGTCAAGTCCATTTTCTTTCCTCTTGCAATGTAATGCAGATGCTGTTTCTTGTGTGGATCATTTATGGGTAGAATATTCCTGTTAGATAAACGCCCATCACTTCCCATAAAACATTTACAAATGGTTATATCCATGTTTACAATTTATCCTTTATTTTCTTCTTTTTCTCTTGGAACCGAAAATATATTACTTGCAGTATAAAACAAATTTTGATTGAATTATTTATTAAAAATAGTTAGATCACTTAAATTCCCATATATACCTTAATGTTCACAGCATAATCAACATTCCTCTGCAAGTTTGTTTAAACAACAATTGATTTGATAATATGTGAAAGGTAAGATTCAATATTTTTTGTTCAAAGTGCAAATCAAAACAATTGATTACAAAATCGACTAACTGCAAAATAAGAACCTGCTATGTAATTTACAATACAATGTATCACTAATCCAAGACATACGTGAACCATATTTAATGCTTTAACCCTTTGAAGTATATATGCCTTCATAACTATCATTGCTGATTCGCATATATTATTAGTGTTATTACCTCTAACAAATAAGTTTTTTCTGTTACACAGAGCCCATTCCATTCTTCTTTCATAATATGATGACTCATAATTCAAAAAAAAAAAAATTGATATTTTATTCCAACATCATATTTATTAAGTAATATATAATTTCTCAATATCTGATTCTTGATCTGCATACAACATATTTTTTAGTAAAGCAAACAGATGACTACCAAATAACCATCTCTACAATGCCTAAATATATATGTAAATTTATTAGATGATTATTTAAAAGATAAAATAATAGTACTTTACATTACAAAACAGAAAAAATGATATATTACTAAACAAATGGACATTTTCATAATGAATCAGTCTGAATACTCTAAATCACAGTTCTGGCAAATGTAACAAGGCAGCCCAGGTGTGCAAACTTCGTGAGCCCATAACATGCATTCTTGGCACTGAATCTAGCTTTCTTTTGGCTTGCTAGCAGAGTAAGGAGACACTCATACCAGGAAAACACTTCATTTTTTTCTTTGTTTTCGTCGTTAACTGATTTCTTCTTCAGTCTTCCTTCCTTTCCTTTTGCATTCTTCTTTCTAGTAGACTTTGTCTCTTCCTTATTCTCACTTAATACCCGTTTCGTTACCTTAATTTTTCTTGCTTATTGTTCCAGCTTTTTCTCTTCTAAATAGGTTTTCTGCGATGTGTCTCTTAGAATTGCGGATTTTTATTTCCTTCTATCAGCTCTCTGCGACTTGTGCGGAGGAGCTTTTGGTAGGGGTTTCAAAACTAGCGGCGATATTATCAGAGAACTCCCTGCACTACTTGGACCAGGACTAGTGATCACGATAGGTTTCTCGGTAGCTTGATGCTACACCGATTGCTCTGATGTTGAGCAGCTAGGCAAACTTTGTGATGTCCCAGAATGAGCATCAGGGCAAGCGTTCTCGTTTTCAGCCGATACAGAATCTTCAAGGTCAGGTATCTCACATGGAGTCGTTGTAGGCTCATTAGCGACAGTGTTACGATCGAGGAGAGAGTTATAGTTTTGATTCTGAGCGTCATTGTGTACGATTTCGCCATCAGGATTCGTAATTAGTGGCCTACCTGTGACAGATGACGGCAAGAAATCGTGCTCTTGAAATATGTTTCGATTAAATAGGGGAGATTCCACAGGTTTTAAAACCTGCAAGAATATTGGATGGAGTAACTTCCAATGGAAAAACCTGTGCAATTGTTCCTGGTATTTCGTATATCATCATTTGTTGGCCTGGATGATTTACCATCCATTGATCCATTGCCTTGTTAATGTATTTTTTCAAAGGTCCATACACCGATCTGTCCAAAGGTTGGAGGCGGTGAATGTAGTGTGGCGGGAATGATAGCATTATTATGCCATTATCTTCTGCAAAATTTAGTTCTTCAATTGCTAGATGGGAGTTGTGATTATCTATCAACAAGAGATATGGTTTTTCCTTTGTTGATTGAACATGGTTATGGAAATGTTTCAAGAAAGCAACAAATAGTTCTTCTGACATCTACCCCGAAGGATTACTTCCTCCTTTGCAGCCAATTGGCCTATCTCTGATAAAATGATTATTAAAATACACCCTCGGAAAAACGAAGAATGGTGGAACTGATTTGCTACCTCCTGAAACAGCAGCTGGGTGAATAGTGTGCCTCTCTCGGCAGAGGTAATAGCACCAACTTGATTAAATCCCTTTTGAGCATCAACTTTGTTCGGTTTTTGCATCATAGTCGCTCTAGTTTCAACATTTATTTGTAAAATTATGTAACCGTTTTATAAAGCACACATTAAACATCAAGGATACACAAAAATTATTTTCATTATACGAAAAAAACTAACGCACGTGTCTCCGTCACGACAGTACAGAGCGGACTGAAATTATATTCGAAGAGAGGTATTGTTACCGCAAGCCTTCGACGCAGGTCAACGAGCTTACTCGTCCACTCAGTTTCTTGTTATAGTCGCTGTGACAACCAACCCGTGAGACAACCAAACCCGGTCTCCTCTGGTAGAGTTTCTTTTTGGTAGAAAATAATTAAAATTGTTTTTTTTTTAAATTTTTTAATTATTTGGTTCTCCTAAAAAAGAACATATATATAGTGTCTTCAGAACAAAAAAACCCTTTAATTGACTCATTTTATACAATAAACAGTTGGTATTTTGTGTAATTTTTAGGAAGTGAGGCAATAATTGATCAGACTCATTTTCATTATAATAATTTAAATAAATGTACTTTATTTAGCCCTTCTTCTATTTTTCTTTCACATCTGGCTTTTTCAACTGCTAGATTTATTCAAAGTTGCTAACTCTGCAAATACATTAGAAACTTCAGTAATGCTGCAGGAAGGTAGTAGGTGTCTTTTACAACGTTAGTTTTTAAATCAATGTTCAATGTTTTTACAAAGTTTTTTTTTGTAGATATCCGTTATATTATATGATATATTTACAAGCCAATGGGTGCTTATTTGGTAAAATGAACATTGCAATTGACATTTAGGTAGTCTGTATGAATCGTTTTTAGTGACTATATATTTACTACTGTTTGCTTTTATGGTCCATACATTGTTTTCTGTAAGGATTATTTCTGAATTCCTAGTTAAAGCTGTTCGATGGCGATTGTGTATATTCTGTATTGTTTACTCCCTTTGTTATTTTTATAAATCTTAAGACAAGTTTATCTCTGATGTATTTCAATACTGCGGTCATGAGTCTGTCTAAACGTCTGACAACTTTTCCCTCAAGATAAAAGTATTCAATGGTATTATGTATGCTTTCAAGTACCTATATAGTATATGAAGTACATATTCATAAAAATGTTTAGTTTCAATAAAACATTAGATATTTGAATTAAATACTAATACTTAAAATCATTAGTCTAACAGTTTAAAAAAAGCCTAAACTTACTTTATAGGTATATTATACTCACTCCAAACATACAGTACCTAATATATAATATCTATCTAAAAATTATTCATTTCCCATTTTTGTGACTTGTATACCAATCTCTCTTTTTTTTAATGTGCATCAACAGCAACTACAATTTTTTTGTACTTTAAACATTAAATCATTACGCACTAAATAAACACCTTGTAATCAAGTAATATAAGACAACTAGCATTCAATTAAACAATGTAATTTATTTGAGAATCCCCTATAAATTGT